TCCTGCCCATCCCAGGGTTTGAACAGCACAKGAAAAGAAGGTGCTCTCATTATTAAAATCATCAAATTGTCCATTTGAGCAGTGTATTGAGTAAGACATGGGAAATATGGTGAAAAACTCACTCAGACATGGATGTCTCCATCTTCTAAATGGGAATAGCTTAAATTCATCATTGCAGCCATCAGGGTTGAACAGGGTACAAGTGAGAAAGCTGAAAACACTTCAGCAACATGTGGCTGAGGCTTGGTCAAAAACCTGGAGGAAAATCCCCTTTTCCTAAGTTGGTGGGAGGTGGGAAATGCTGCTCCAGRGCTCCCAGCTCCMGTCATCCACACAGAAATCACCGGCAAAGGCGGCACGTCCATCCTCCCTGCAGTCCCAATCAATGAGGAGAGCGGTTTCAGGTAGCCTGAAAAAGAAATGTTCCTGTGTGAAGAGGTTTTTAAACCTGTCAGGAGTGTGATCAATCCAAGTCTCGTTGGCTCGGCTCAGAAATCGATGAGAAATGGCTCCGTGTCTCCGYGGGGAACTGCAGTGGTTGCTCAGGRAAGGGAGAGAAATGCAGACACCAGGGCTTTCCTAAAAGCACCTAAAATTTCCCACTTCCTTTGACCACATGGCACTTTCTGAGTATCATGGCAGCAAAGCTTGACTTGTCCCAAGGTCGAGGAAGTGGAAATCATCAGCTTGGAATAGACCAGAAKCCACAGCAGGGCTTCATTAATTTCCCTCAAAAGTGGTGGGATTGAGGCAAAAAGAGTAAACATTAGAAATGAGGCACCTCAGATCTTTATCTGCCTTCTGACTGTGGAGCACTTTTGTTTCAGRGCTTTGGGTGCTTTTTGTGATCACCTGGCTCTGGGAAAGGAGACTTTTTAGGAAAACACCACAAGTTTTCAAGGCATGGGATAAAATCACGAGAATTGACCGAAGCTTTTGTAAGTCTGTGGCTGGAATGAGCTGAAGGTCAGTCAGAAAAGAGGTTATCAGAGGAGGGGGTGAATGTGATCGTTTCCCCCTCCTTCTAAGCCATAAAAGAGGGAGAAAGTTTGGATATCTGATCCCTCCGGGTCTGACCCGTCTCTAATGGAAATGCTGGCAGGAAGCTCACGACATTTATTAAACAGCAATGAGCAGCTTTAATAAAATCAGCGTCTGCGGGACTTTATTAGCGGCGTTGGGAAAGAGCCCTGAAAGGGCTGGTGAAGCACCGAGGGCTGCACACCCGAGGGCTGTGAAATCATCTTGATGAAGTGCTGCCGGGTTCATTATTGGGATTCCTGGTGAGCCCTCTCCGTTCCGACCCCGGGAGGCCCCGCATCCCTCCAGGATGTTTTCCATGCTCAGCCCCCGGCTCCAGCCCCCGCCGCCGCCTCCTCCCGCGCCGCTGTTCTGCAGAGAGGGTGGGAGGCCAGTCTGGACCTCTCCATCATCAGCCACGAGCTGATGGGTTGCAGAGGGAGCTCTCACAAATTGCTTCCAGATCCGCTCTGGAGATGCCCTGGGGAGGCAGCAGCCCAGGGAGTTTCCTCTTGGGGTGTGATAAAATCCCGKTGCCATCAGCCATGTGCTGAAATCATCCACCAGCCCTGGGTGAAGGCTTTTCCCATAAGTGACAGGATTTGCWTCCCTAAATCTATCCCTGCTTCACTTTGGCACATGCCATGGGTGACACCAGCAGAGGGAAGCCTGCCCAGCATGTGTGGCTGCAGGCTGGGATGGATCTGGCTGGGAAACTTCTTCTGGCTGCCCTTTGGGTTTATAGCAGTGGCTCAGGCATTCTCTAGTCTCCCCACTTCAATTTTAATTTTTTTTTTAATTTTGGGCCTGCTCAGCTGCCTCTGCCCCCTCAAGCTGCYGCTCCCAGGGATGCTGTGGGGTTGGCAGTGGTGGTTGTGTGATGCCAAACACACGTGGGAAGGTAGCTGAAGGGCTCCTGGGATTCAGAGCTCATCCAACAGGAGCCCTGTTCACTCTCACCTTGAGAACCTCATGGCAGCTCCTTGTAGTGCGAACCAGGACTTAGCACTGCTTTTATTTATTTAGTTATTTATTGAATCCCACGAAGTTTTCAAACTTCCTTTTTTTCCTGCCAGAGGGGAGCTCCTTCCCGTGGCTGTGCCAGCCGGCAGCGGATCACAGCGGAGATCCCACCCGTGCACGTGTCYCCAGCAGACTGGAAGTGGCTTATTTTCCTTCCTTTGCAGTGAAAACAGAATTGAAAAATCCGTACAGCAAATATTCCCCGAGAGGCCATTTTTATTCCTGGTATGTCCATTTGCAGTGAGAGCTCAGCTGCTTGTTGTGCAATCCAGACCGCCTGCATGGAGCAGGTTTGGGTGTAACCCTTGGGGTGCCGAGGGTGGGCTCCATCTGTGGGTCACCCACAGGGGATCCTGCTGCTCTGCCCAGCTCTGTGAGGCACATCTGGGGTGCTCTGTCTGGGTCTGGATCCTCAGGACAAGGAGTGTGGAGCTCCTGGAGTGGGGCCAGTGGAGGCTGYGGAGATGAGGAGGAAGTGGAGCAGCTCCGTGCCCGGGAAAGGCTGAGGGAGCTGGGACTGGTCAGTCCCAAGAAGGGACCCCATCCATGGGTGTGAAACAGGGAGGGAAGTGTCAGAGCACGGACCAGGCTCTCCTTGGTGATGTCCAGCACTGGGCACAAACTGATGCCCAGGAAGTTCCACCTGAACAGGAGGCAGAACCTCACCCCTGGGCAGTGACCAAACAGAGTGCACAGAAGCTCTGGAGTCTCCCTCACTGGGGATATTCCAGACCTGCTGGACACAATCCTGAGTGCTCTGGGATGGCCCTGCTGGATGAGAGGAGCAGGGAGGTGGCACTGGATGGTCTCAGATGTCCCGTTGACCTGAATTGCTCTGGGATAGATCCGTGGTGGAGAGGAGAGGGGAGGGGAGGGGGTGAAGCCCAAAGCTGCCATCCCACAGGGATTCTGTGTGGGGWGGGGAGGGCAGCAGCCCTGCCAGCATCCCAGGAGGGATGGATGGGATGATGGGATGGCTCTTGAGCCACTTCAGGGCCGTCTGGCTCCTCTCATCCTGCACAGCAAACCCCCCTGACAGCTGCAGTGCCTGATGTGGAGCAGCAGCGGTTTCAGGCCGTGACCTCAAGTTCTCACGCTTGGGGGACAATTTTGGTGAGCCCCTTCCCCACTTCCCACCCTACATCAGCCCCCTTGGGCAAAGCTATCAGAGGCTGGTTGTAAATCCATCAAGCACCAGCCCATTATTAATTAATTTGCATGTTTTGACTCCTTCTCTTCATAGCTCCTGATTTAAAGCTTATTTAAGGGGTCACAGACTTCTTCAGCTCCAGAGGGATTAAATCTGGGRACAACTGTAGGCCCTATGTGAGTAATTGCAATGAGGAAATGCTCCAAATTAAAGCTTCCTGCTAGGTCTTTCCAGTGGGAAAACGAAACAATTCTTTCAGATTTGCTTTAAAATCAGCATCATATAGAWATATCTGTATTTTTTCCATCGCGCTGCTTTGCCTGGAGAGAGCAGGCGGCAGAACGTGCTCAGAAGAGACGCACGAGCGTAACTAAAGCAGAAGAATTCATCAGAAAACAAGCCAGCGTGCTCTGGGGTTGGTTTTGAACCTCAGGCTCAGTAATTGCTTGTGAAAGCAGAAAGCCATCAACACCGAGTCATGGCCCCGCGCGGTGTGGGATGGAGCCGCGTGGGAAAGGCGGCATTTGGGAAAGGCGGCATTTAAGCGGCGGCCGAAATTATTTTTCATTCCTCGGGGTAAGGAAGTTTAACCCATCCGTGCCTCAGGGAGAGCTGCCAAGGAGCAGCGCTGCCTGTTCTCTGCGCGTCCAGATCCTCTGCTTCCTGCAGAGGCAGAGCTCGTCTGCTTTTCTTCCAAGTTGGTGCGTTAAAGTCGCGTTTGGGGGTTGCAGGAGCTGGAGCGGCGCCAGCAGCTCCGCTCTCACACAGTGACACGATGTGGTTTTSCTCCYTAGCAGGAGATTTGRGCTGTGCTGCTCGCTGGGCGATGKGAAAGGTGCTGGCACTGCTCCGGGATGGGATCCCCTGGTGAGAGCTCCCAGCCGAGCCCCCCCGGTCCCAGGGGACGCCTTCATTCCCAGGATTTTCTTTCCCAGCCCTGGAAGAGTTTGCAGCCCGGGCAGTGAGCGAACCCCTCGGCCTTTGCAAGCACGAGGTTATTGCGAGTTCAGTGTAGAGACTGAGGGATTTGTCCCTGTTGCCAGCCTGGAGGGGCAGCAGTCCAGGATGCCCGAGGGGAATGCCAATGCAGGAGCTCGGGACAGGCTCGGGACGGGCACTCTGCCCATCACTGAGCCGCATGCCACAAGTACCCAGCCCAAAATCACAGAATCCCAGACTGGCAAGGGTTGGGAGGGACCTTAAAGCACTTAAATCTCATCCTACTCCCTGCCATGAGCAGGGACACCTTCYACTGTCCCAGGGTGCTCCAAGCCCCGTCCAACCSGGCCTTGGACACTTCCAGGGATCCAGGGGCAGCCACAGCTTTTCCGAGCACCCTGTTCCACGTGTCTGCTCTGCCGCCGCCCCTGCCTTGCCCGCTGCCAGCTGCAAGTTTGGGTGGATAACTCCACTGCCAAGGGCTGCAGAGTTCAGCACTGACAGTGCCACTGTCCCCTCCCGGAGCCCGGTGACACCGGGGCACCCTCTGCCCGTGCCGTTGGCTGCGCATCGCGTCCGGCATCTCCAGGAGATGGACAGGGCGAGAGGASAAGGGCGAGGGGCTGTGCCCGCTCCGGGTGAGAGCGCGGGGATGATTTAGGGGACGCTGAGCCCTTCCGCAGCTTCCCCCGGCTGCCGCCCGTGAGTCGCGGCTGCGCTTCCTCGGGAGAGGCGCTCACGGAATCGCTAATGCTCCAGCCCGGAGGTGCAGCATGCGGAGGGCTGCAGCAGCAGCAGCAGGTACAGCAACACCCCGCCTCGTTAATTATTGACTCTCTTTTCAATTATCAGCCCCGATAAGGGAGCACCCCCCGCCCCGACAGCCCAGGCAGCGCTCGGAGCTTTGTGTTTTTCCGGGAAAGAGAACTATTCCGCGGAAAAGTCACCGGTTTTACGCACCGGGGCTGAACTGTCCTCGCAAAGGTCACCCGAGAGCCGCGGGCTGCTCGATTGGAAAATCAGTCCCTCTTTTGTGCTTCTTGGTTCGAACTTGTATTTGCTTTCCGAGCAAGGTCACYGCTCAGCTGACCAACTTTGTAACTGCTGGAACGGGCTGGGGTTCAGCGCCTTTGCTGCTCCGAACCCTTCGCTGCCGGGGCTGGGCAGGAGGAGATGCTTTGGAGGGAGGCGAGAGCTGCTGCTGGTGCCCGGGGGGTTTGTAGGTGCCGGCGGGAGAAGGTAAAGTGACAAAACGCTGTGCTAACCACAGTTTTCCCTATCGCCAGTTTTTCCTGCTGCAGTGCAGGAGGACAGACAGGCAGAGCTCGAATAATGTTGTGTTACAGCTAACGAGGCTGTGCTAACGTGCTGGTGGGTTATCTTGTTATTTTTAGGCTCAGGGTTAACTGTTGCCAAGTTAGAATCGCAGGCGAGACACTCCGGGGGGATGAATTTTGTGTGTATTTGTGGTAGGCGGTTGAGTTAATTTGTAATTTAAATTTTTGGGGGGTGCAATGGTGCTCTCCTTTCTGCTGGCTGGGGTGGGTGGGGAGCTGCTGGGTGCTCAGTGGGATGGAGTGAAAAAGGGGTTAAATGTGACTGTAAAGAGCCAGTGTTTGAGTCCAGGCTGGTTAAAAAGACAGCACATTGTCCCTGCAAACGGGCTGCCCCAGGGAATAAAACCACTCGGCTCTGTGCTGTTGCCTTCTCACATATTTGGCTTCTCCGTTTCCATTTCTGTATGTATTTATTCCTGCCTTGAGAAAAACACTGTAATTCCAGTCAGGATTAATCCTTGCCTCAGCCTCTCTGTGAAAATCAGCGATGCATGGGGAAAAAAATCAAATATTCTTCAGTTTTATTYAACAGAGAAAACTCAGCAAATACAGAACCCGACAGAGGGTCAGCCTAACAGGTTTTAGCAGCATGGGAACCCACCTAAAAGTCCTTCCCCATATCATGGGCTAAACCCTTAATGTAGGGGTCTGCTACTTGTGGTGGATGACTTCATCTTTTAATTTCATTCTTCTAAGGGACAGGCATGGGAGAGCAGCTGTGGGGTCTGAGGAGGCACATTTTTGGCTCTAAGCCATCTCCTCCATGCCTGAGCTGCCCYGGGGTGGGGACAGGAGAACATCAGCAAGCTGGTTGGGTACGCTCAGCATCCTTTTACGAGGTGATTTCAAAGTAGATTGGTCAAAAGAGAGCAGTCATAGTATCAATTTGGGCTGCAGAGTTGGGACCCGGCCAGCTCATAAATGATCCAAAGAGATGTAATTATCTAGATATTAAAAACCACCCTATTCACTGTCTTTTTTCCCCCCCTCTCCTAAATAAATGACCAGGAAGAGTGGAGTGTAGCTGGTCAGGCTGAAATTGGCTGCAGTCGGGGAATTAAGGGGAAGAAACAACATTTGAGAGAGAGGTTGGTGTTTGTTTTGGCACGTGCTGTTTGTTGGCAGGAGCAGACAGAAGGAATTGCCCATCGAGAAGGAGGGTGGGTTCTTGGAGAGCACAGCAGGAGCTTTCCAGGAGCTCAAAGGTGTTGGGTGGGCATCAGAGTGACCCTCTGTGACCCTGCAGGAGCTGCTTGGTGTTCTCCTTCTGCTGAACCTTCCTGGCTCTCCATCAGGACTGTACATGGTCCATAAACACTTCTACCTGATTGATCACTGCTGCTTTAAAAGGTTTTGGTCTTTCAGAGTATTTGTGGTAGAACATAGAATGGCTTGGGTTGGAAGGGATCTCRGAGATTATCTCATTCCAYGGGCAGGGACACCTCYCACTGTCTGAGGTTGATCACAGCCCTGTCCAGGCTGGCCTTGGACACTYRCAGGGATGAGGCAATGTCCTGTGRTAACAATGGAGCAGGATTTGACTTCCCTGCTCACCTGCTCTTTGGTGAAGGTCGGCTGGAGCCCCTGCATGGGGAGCTCTAGGGCTGGTCAGGGGCTAAAGCCCTCACTGAGGCAAAACTTGGAGCATTGTTGTTGTTCTGCAGGCAGAGAATGAGTTCAGCCTSGTGGTTTGGGCCCTGGGATGGGTGTGAGCTGGGGCTGGCTCAGCTCAGCTGCTCGGTCCTGCCCTGAGAATCTCACACAGCTCAGGGATGCACTGGAGGGGCAGGGATGCACTTCCAGTGCCTGTGGGACCATCTCTGGCCAGGAACTGAACTGGATACTGTAAGGAAAACCAAAAACAAACAACCTACTGTTCAGGAAACTCCCACTTCATCCTCTGTGGCAGAAATTAAAACCAGACCTTCTCACTTGGAGCGTTGTTGTCCTCTCACATGAGCCAGGGAGGCTCCTGCTGTGATGTCTGACTGCCCCAACCTCCTTCGCCCTTCCCTGCCTCCTCCCTGGGCCTTTCTRAAGGGCCTGCAGGAGAGAAGCATCRCCCAGGACCTTTCTTGGTAGTTCCCAGCCTTAATTTCTCATGCTCCAGGAGGGTYTCACCCATGTCCACATGATGGGAAGGAGCTGGAGGGCAGCACAGCCCAGGAATTATCTGAAGATCTCAGTGTTGGCTGTGGCAGATCCCCACCTGAAGTTCTTCCCTGARCAGAAGCAATTTCTCTGTGACTCAGTGCAATTTGGTGGAGGTTCTTTTTTACAGTAGGAATGTGCTCGGAAGTAATGGCTGTCATTTGAACAAGAATCAACATAAATTCTGAATTTTTGATTGTTACAGATAAAAAAAAAAAAAAAAAGACAAACCAGTCATTTCTGTGTGTGGTTTCTATCCCTGCTGTCACAGATCTTACATCATGTTGGGTATCTCCAGCTTGCAGGAGTCAGTGCCATCGATCCCAAGTCACCCCAAATGTCTGTCTGTCTTCACTGGCAGTCAAACCCTGTGTAATGCAGGGGATGTTTTACTAGAACCAGCTCCCTGGGGTGTGTCTGGGAAGCACAAGTTGTTGCCTCTGGAAAAGGAGCTATTGATTTTAGCAGCTTCAAAGCCTTTGGACACCACTGGACTGCGGAAGATGGGAAGTGGGAGCGGAGCGGGGTGGCCTGGGAAGACTTGTAAGGCTTTAAGGGGAGATGAAGTTTGCATGGTTGAGCTATTTTTTAAAATTAAATTAAAAGTTTCAATTTCTTTTTTTTTCAAGAGTGAAGCGACTCCTGAGCCCTTGTCAGAAGATGCTTAAGTGACAGCCCAGTTAGACCCCACCATGGAGAACACAGAAGGTAGGGGAACTACAGGATGTTTATTTGTTCATTTTTCCTTGAAAAAAAACCCCAGCCAAGCTGTGGAGCAATTTCCTTACCAGAAATACTGTAAATAACCTGTTCTCTGTAGGTGTGGGGCCAAGAGATGAAAAATGCATCGTTCRTGTATTATGCAGACTTCCTAAAAACCACARCAAGGCAGCTCCCAGCTCYAGATCAGCACATATTTGTCCTCCTGTGCTCTGGGACAGATCCCTGCTCCCACCCTCCAGCTGTGACCCCATGAGGTGTCTTCCCTCTGTCCTTSCTCTGCTTTCCACGTGAACAGCACCTGCATCTCAGTGATGCTATGTGACCAGCAGCACCAAAATCCATCCCAAATTGTCCTGGTCCTCTCAAGCTGCTGCACCAGGATGGAGACAAAGGGATCAGCCATGGATCTGCTTCCTCCTCCTCCTCCTCCTCCTCACTGAGCCCAGCTTGTTTGCTGAGAGGTGCAGAGCAGCCCAAACCACTGTGATTTCAGGGGCTCGCTGTACAGAAAACGTTCAGTGATGCAGAAGTTTAACCATGTAGGCCCTCAGCTGAGGGTGGAGGGCTGTTGTTTCTGTGCTGGCTGGGTGGGCAAACACTCTGACACTCATTTGGGCAATGATTTGCCTCAATTCAGAGCTGTGCTGGGAGCCTGAGCCGGTCACCTTGGGATGCATGTGTTCCGCATGGCTGCGGCTGCTGCTGTCTGGGCCCTGCCTCTGCCTGCAGCCGTCATCTTCAAGGAATAATTTGTGACCTGGTGGCTGCAGGTGAAGCCAGGCAATGATTTTCCTGCTTGGTGTGCGCTGCTTATGCCACTGAAAAGTTAAATCCAAGCCGAAAGCCTTGAAAAATGTCATTGTCACAGATTGGTCCCACGTTCTGTTACTGAGCTGGATTTATTATCCATCAGGCAGCTCTCTGTACCTACACAGACAYGCAGCTCTGCCTGCAAAGCCTGCTGTTGGCTTAATTGCCAATTAGAGCCATGATTTCTGGAAATTTTTGGCTTCCTCAGTGCAACAATTACCTGGAAGCACCTCTGGGACACCGGATCAGAGCTTGGYGCGTGTCGCTGTGTCTGCACAGCTTCACCGCGAGCCCCCACGACGATGAGCTGCAGCCCTGCCTGCCCAAAACTGAGATGAAAACAGAAAAAACATCTCCTCCCTGCTCTAAATAATTTTAAAAAGAAAAAAAAAATCAATGATTTATTTTTTTTTGGATTGTTTCAGCAGATGGCCGGGCACCCAAACCCGACGGGGACAGGGAGCAGCCSCGCAGCCTCCCCTACTCCCTGGAGACTCCCTACGGCTTCCACCTGGACCTGGACTTCCTGAAGTACGTGGACGACATCGAGAAAGGCCACACCATCCGGAGGGTGCACATCCACCGCCGAGCCAAGCAGCCCAAATTCAGCACCCTGCCCCGCAACTTCAGCCTGCCCGAGAACGGCACCCGCGGCTGYTCCGCCGCCGCTCCCAGCAAGAGCTGGACGGCGAGCTGCTCCTTCCCGCAGCGCAAAGCATCCCTGGCGGAGGAGCCCCCCCGGGCCCCGCTGCCCTCCGAGGAGGAGCCGAGCTACCGGCGGCAGGCGCTGCTGGCCGAGACGCGGCGGCAGGCGGAGCCGGGCTGGCCGCGGGATGCGCTGCGGGCGCGGCCGCAGCTGCTGCGAGCCTCCAGCATGCCCGACGCGCTGCCACCCGGCCAAACCCCGCCCGGGGGACCCCTCCGGACCCCTCCCCAGCACTGCCGCGAACAGAGCGGCTCCGAAAACGCCTTCCCCGCCAGCCCGGACAGCGCCGCGGTCAGCCCGGCCAGGGAGGGGAGCTCGGAGCAGGAGAGCTCATCGTGGCATCCCGGCGGGGTGGTGCCGGGGCTGGTCCCCGTGCAGCATCCCCGGCAGAGCCCGCAGCTGCAGGTGGTGATGGAGAGCGGAGGGGAGGAGGGCGATGCTGCGGCACCGGGCGCSCTCCAGCTCACAGAGGAGAGCGTGAACCCTGCGGAAAGGGGGCTCAGCCCAAGTGAGGCAAATCTGAATGCACCGAAGAACGGTGAGGAGAGGAATGTCCAGGCTGGAGGGGACGAGGAGAGCGGTGTTCTGCAGGCTCCTGACGCCAGAGAGCCCGGCGGGGTCGTGGCACTGAAGCAGCAGATCGCTGACCTGGAGGAGCAGCTGGGCAAGAAGAAAGAGGAGCTTGAGCGGGTCAGGGCCGTGCTGGAGCAGCAGGATCAGGAGATCAAGGAGAAGGAGAAAAGCATTAAGCTGCTGGCCAGCTCCAAAGCTCAGCTGGAAGAGCAGCTGTGCCAGCAGAGGTGCCAGGAGGCCCCCGTGCAGTGCCTGGATGCTGCRGTGAACACCGAGCTGTCCCAAGTGACAGGGGCCAGGCAGGCCCAGGACAAAGCCATCAGYGTCAATCTCCCGCTCCTCACCAGGTCCATCGGCTGCACTGCAGACGGTGTGAGCACCCAGACCGTGGAGCTGGGAGTCTGTACAGAGCAGGGACTGGCGGGTGCTCGTGCACAGGGACATTTGGGTGAAGCCAGCGTGGAGGCTGGAYTTCCTGCTCCGTGCTTCACCCCGCTGCAGATCCACGAGAGCACCAGCGACGACAACCAGAACCACCGCAGCAGCTGCGACTCCTTGGGCTCGGAGGCAGCCCAAAGCAAGGCAAACTTTGGAGAAGATGAACCTTGGGAAGGTGCACCTGGCCACGAGGATCTGCCAGCTCTTGACCCCATTGGCCAATATGTGAAAAAGATCCAGGAGCTGCTGCAGGAGCAGTGGCTGTGTTTGGAGCACGGCTACCCCGAGCTGGCCAGCGCTATCAAGCAGCCGGCCTCCAAGCTCAGCTCCATCCAGAACCAATTAGTTAATTCCCTAAACTCCCTGCTCTCTGCCTACTCCTCGCAAGGGCCCGTGGATAAGGAGAATTCCAACACACACTATCAACAGTTGGGTAAATAATATTGCATAGGCTCCACGTGTCTGGGCCAAATCKTTACCTTTTTATTCCAGCGTGGAGCAGGGGGGATGTGGTGGAACAGTTGTTGTCAGTCAGGTCAGGAACAGTCTCTCCTAATCATGATGAGAAAGGCAAATCTCTGCTCATCACAAGTTATGGATCTGAGATGAAAAAAAAGCAAACAAAATTATGTAGGTGCTCCTTAAGTTGTTGCTAATTTATATTCAGGATCAGCTTTCAAAAGCTGCTGCACTGGTGGCTGTTCCATCCAATAAAYATTCTTTTTATTTGGATTGGACATCTCAGTTTACAAAGAGATGGGGCTGGTGCTCATCTGGGGTAAATCAGCACAGAGTTCTCCAGAATTCTCTAAAACTCAAACCAGTCAAACTAACTGAGCAACCAGGCTGGGAAAACACCTGTCCCCACTCACAGACCTATATCTAAAATAATTTTAGCTCATATAAAGATGAAAATCCAATGCCTGTTCGCTGGGGGAGGGTGGGAGGGGGCTTGCAAATAGATAAGTGACCCATTCCTTATAAGCAATACATAGGCASTGTTCAAATTCCAGTGGCAAGACTCATCCATGTAGTATTATAGGAGATTTATATARGAAATTTCCAATCCATTAGTACTGGAAAAAACCTCAAACTCAAACCAACCAGTGTTACAGAAGTAAAATCTACTTATATTAATAGGACAAATCTATAATTCCCAGTCACTTCCTTTATATTCCCAGTCACCTGGAGACATTTGAGTCCTTGATTTCAAGGTGGCAGGGCAGGTTCAGGTTGTGGCCAGCTGCATCCGTAGTTTTGCAAGACATCAAAAGACTCTTATAAGATGAAGTAAGATGCTYATGGTTGTGATTTGTAGCTTGTTGCTAGGGGTTGGGAATAATTATTGCTAATTGTGGCACATCTGCTTAATTAATCTATTATTTTGTATTTTGGTAGAAAACTCTCCAACCACAAGTCTTAAATCCATCATGAAAAAGAAAGGTTATGGTTTCCATGCAGGAGGCAATGGGACCAAAAAGAATCTGCAGTTTGTTGGGGTAAATGGTGGGTAAGCATCCGTTCAGAAGATAAAAAACTGCCTTTTAACGTGGAATGTCCTCCGTATCGCTGGAGAAGTCATTCTTTCTCCCCCTCTCCTCTCCTCCAAACCTCCTGATTAAAAGGCCAGTTGAAATGGAGCCTCTTTTCTCCCTTTTTAATCCAGCACTGATAACCTGTGAGTAACCCTGCCAAGAAATGATGTCGGTGTGTTCAGAGCAGCGGGGGACACGCTGGGCACTGACACTCTTTGCACACCCATCCAAAACCCAGCTGGGGAAGGTGGGAAGATTCCCTGGGAGGATTCTCTGGGAGCATTCCCTGGTGGATTCCCTAGGAGGATTCCTTGGGAAGATTGCCACTGCCTCTGGTGGGTTTTGGATGGTGCCAGCATTGCTGGGGTGGGCACGCTGCCACTAACCCGTCCCATGCTCCAGCAAAGCAATCACAAGTTGGTTCAGAACCTGGGAAGAGACTGYTTTGGTAAATAAGGAATTTCCTGAGGGTGAAGGAGACTCAAGGTTGTGCTCCAACACCCCATTCCAGGTGTGTCCAGTATCCAGCACTGCTTGGCCTGTGAGCTAAGCACCAGCAGCATCTTCTGCTGAGGCCCGTATGTGCTGGCATGAAGAGTGCAGGACACACGTCACTGTCCCCAGGCTGGACAGAAAGCTCTGTGTGCCTGTCTGGGTGCTGCTTGCTGCTCCTCACACGCTGCTCCTCCAAGCTCCCAKCTGCTGGGTCCATCAGCTGCTCCCACCAAATGGGGACAACTGTGGGGAGTGGAGGAGTCTTGATTGCTTTGAGAGAAGTGTTGGGATCCCTCAGAGTGAAACRTTCTGTTTCGTGGAAGATATTACTGATGCTTTTAGACAGCCAGAGGAGAGATCTCTGTCAGGGCTGCTCAGATGGTGGATTCAGCCCGGGCAAACACAGCTTTTGTCCCGTGCTCCTCGAGGCTGCCGACGCTGCCAGCCCCTCCTTGCCGCAGGGTCCGTGCTGCTGGCGGCTCCCTGTCACCGTGCTGGCAGCTCCCTGTCACCGTGCTGGCAGCTCCCTGTCACCGTGCCAGCAGCTCTCAGCCCTGCCAGGGCTCTGTGTGATGGACATCCCTCCAAAACCCTGAAGTAACCTTGCCTGCTGCTCATTAACTGCTTCTGTCACACTCCYGCTGCTTAAGGAGCCAAACAAAGACTAACCCCGACTCTGGCTGCGGCTCAGACCTTCTAACTTGCTGCTTGTCACCCTGGCTTCCCCCAAGGCGCATTGGGGTCAGTGAGCCTTGGCCAGGCCCCGTGGCTGCGGCTGGGAAGGAGGGAGTAACKTGTGGTGTCCTCAAATAGCTACGAGACCACGTCAAGCGAAGACACGAGCTGCGACGAGAGCGCGTCCGACGGCGACACCGAGACCGAGACAGAGGGCAGGGCCAGCGATGTGGAGCCTGGGCAGGCTGGGAGTGACAGCAGAGGGGCTTCCTCGGGGAAAAGGTGTGAGGATGATGGTGATGATGATGATGATGAAGGGCAGGAGGCATCAGCAGGAGCAGCGCCCAGCACTCAGCATGAGGCTCACAGGTAACCAGAGGTGACCGTGCCGTCCATCGTGGCCGCAGGGCTGGGTCGGGCTCTGTCTGCTCGRTGGAGGAGCAGCAGCAGTGCTGACCTCTGCAGATCAGGGAAAAGGCTTCAAAGAGYTGAATATTTTCTGAGTTACTGCAGAATCTAATGGGGATTGATTCAGGCCCTGGGCTCGGCACTGACTCATGTCTGCTGAGGGTTAGCTCATTTCTCCCCTCTCATGGAAAGTTGTTTGGTAAAGTTGTTTGTTGCCGATTCGAGAATAACATTTTTTTTCCCCCGACCTTAAGGATTCTTGTAATAGATGAAGTTGGCCACTCAAATCTGTGACTCTGGGCTTAAATCCTTACTTAAGTGCTTAACTTTGTACCTAAAATCTGTGTTGGGTCAATAGGACAGCTTCTGTCCAATAACTTCAGCACTTAAATGCGTTGAACATATTCCAACCCAATCTGCCTGGCTTGACACCTCCTGCAAAGTCCCATGGTGGATTTACCAAAGTCTTTTCCCTTTAGATCCAAACCCTCCGAAGATTTCCTTGCTGCCTGCCAGCTCCTCAGCGAACAYCTCCCAGAAATCAGGAGCACAAGCGACAAGCATCTGGTACAGACATTTCCCAATCCCGTTTCAGACACTGTTCCCWCTCTCTGTTCCCTTTGATGGGTGGGATTATCCCGATGGCACAGTGCAGGGCGTGCCCTGGACAGCTGTGTGATATCTGAGTCAGTTATAGAATAGCCAAAAAGGAAAAGRGGAGAAAAAAGGGAAGATGAAGGCTTTGTGTGGTTACTCATGCGAGCTACCACAGGAAATTCCTTTCCCCCTCAAGTTATAGCAGCAATCACAAAACCACCAGAAAATGGGGGGCAGGATCTGGGGCTGCCCCGCCTCGCAGGGACAGTCCTGGTGACACCTCAGTGTTCGCAGCGCCACGTGCTCAGCGTCGTGTCCCAGGAGTGGTTCCAGGTGTCCAGCCACAAGGCRTCCCGGCCGGAGGTGGTGGCAGCGTACCTGGGGACACTGGGGGACATCCGGCCCCCGCTGCTCGAGGCCGTGGTGAACCTGCCCGACAGGAATGGCAACACAGCTCTGCACTACAGCGTCTCCCACTCCAACTTCCCGGTGGCAAAGCTCCTGCTGGACACGGGTAGGGATGGCCACTCTGCTTTGCCAGGGCTTCTGTTGGGCAGAGGGTGGGAATGGGGCTTGCCAAGGGTCGTGGGGATGTGAGTGATGGGATAAAAACTGTCCTCAACACAGGGAATGGGGACAGGGACAGTCCCAGACATGGCAAACACTCACTGGGGTCCAGGGTCTTCCCAGGGGCTCAGCCAGGAGCTAAAGGAGGTGGGACAGAGAGGGGGCTGAGGATCTGCGAGCACCCAACCGCAAGGGAGCT